GCAACATTGTGGAAGTTTCGGGAGAAGCTATTTGCAACATTGTCGGGTTTGCAACATTGTTGCAGTCCCGAGAGAAGCTATTTGCAACATTGTTGAAATCGCAACATTGTTGCAGTCCCGGGAGAAGCTATTTGCAACATTGTTGAAATCGCAACATTGTGGAAGTTTCGGGAGAAGCGATTTGCGACATTGTTGAACTTTCAACCTTGTGGAAGTTTTGGGAGAAGCGATTTGCAACATTGTTGGGTTTGCAACATTGTTGCAGTCCCGGGAGAATCTATTTGCAACATTGTTGAACTCGCAACATTGTGGAAGTTTCGGGAGAATCGATTTGCAACATTGTTGAACTTTCAACCTTGTGGAAGTTTCGGGAGAAGCGATTTGCAACATTGTTGAACTTTCAACCTTGTGGAAGTTTTGGGAGAAGCTATTTGCAACATTGTTGTAGTCCCGGGAGAAGCCATTCGCAACATTGTTGAAGTTTGCGCAGAGCCGTTGCAACATTGTTAGACTAGGTAATATGACAGATATGAGGCGAAATTATAGAGAAATATCACAGAACGAGGGGAAGTTATAAGGAAATGTACCAGGAAATTGCAGGAATATTAAAGGGACATGCGTAAGGTAATGGAGGGAAATTAAAGAGAAATATACCAGGAAACGGAGGGAAATTAAAAGGAAGTATACCAGGAAACGGAGGGAAATTAACAGGAAATATACCAGGAAACGGAGGCAAATTAAAGGGAAATATACCAGGAAATTGAGGAATATTATAGAGAAATGTGTAAGGTAGTAGAGGGAAATTAAAGGGATATATACCAGGAAATCGAGGGAAATTAAAAGGAAATGTGTAAGCAAATGAAGGGAATTGAAGGGGAAATGTACCAGGAAATGGAGGGGAAGTAAAGGGAAATGTGTAAGAAAATGAAGGGAAATTAAAGGGATGTACACCAGGAAATGGAGGGAAATTAATGGGAAGTACCGTGAGTTCCTCGTGCCACCTCTTCGCATATCCTGATCTCCTGATACCAGGAGTAAAATTTAAACCAGAATTTGATACGTACCAAAGATTCCTCGTGCCACCTCTTTGTATGCACACAAAAAGCTTTATTCGAAAAACCATTTGGAAAATTAGGATTTTGTTACCCTCAATCTAGAAATTCTGGTTTAATTGCGTATCTAGTATTTGTCATTTGTCCAGCAAGAGAATAAACTTAGATAAACAAAATCACGTGACTTGTTAAGACCAGGCTTACCTATAAATGTAAACATGAAGGGTGATGTTTGCGCCCTCTGCTTTGAAAAACACTAGTCTAACAGCCATGAAATATATAGAACATTGATTAACGTTGCCAGACGGTGTTTCAGTGAACTGAAAGCTAACCTTCCAATTCGTGACAGGCAATTTTCAGTATTTTGTATGCTAGTGTTACGATTTCAGCGAAGGGATTGAAAGGAAACACTTATCAAAATGGAATGTTTAATCGGAATACAGTTTAAAGATTTCGTGTTAATTGCGGCCGATATGACTACGGCTCATTCTATCATGGTTATGAAGAACGGTAAGATATTATACTTCGTTCATTATCTCCTGCCAAACGGTTTAATATTTGTTTTTATACGTATCTATTGATTCCATTAGCATTAAAATGGATTAATAATCTATCCTATACAAATTACTATTCTTTTATAATGTTACTTTTATAATGCATTTTATAATGCATGGTAGAATATAATGTTAGAATGTCTGTACACAAATGCAAGTCATACATATGCGTTTCATTAATTTTGTTATTCCAGATGAACAAAAAATTCACAAAATGTCTGATAAACTCGTGATGGGAGTATCAGGAGAATCTGGAGACACAACACAATTCTCAGAATACATAGGAAAAAATATACAACTTTATAAAATGAGGAATGGTTACGAATTGTCTCCAAAAGCTGCTGCCTGTTTCACTAGGAGAAATCTGGCTGATTATCTCAGAAGCAGAACACCGTATTATGTTAATTTATTAATGGCAGGATATGACGATAACGATGGACCGGAATTATATTTCATTGATTATTTAGCATCTTGTGTTAAAGTGCCTTACGCAGCTCATGGTTATGGAGGTTTCTTCTCAATCTCCATTTTGGATAGATACCACAAATATGGTAATGAAAATTACAGAAATATATATTTTCTCACATCTTATACATAAACAAATTATGTTTTTTATTAAGTATCATATTGACCATTATTTATTACAGATTCAACAGAGGAAGAAGCATATTTACTATTGAAAAAATGCGTTCGAGAAATTCATAAACGATTGATAGTTAATCTTCCAAATTTTAAGGTGCAAAAGATATCCAAGGATGGCATAAAAGAACTGGATCCTATCGCAGCAAAAAACTTGGCTTTAGAAGATGTTGCTGAAGCATAAAGTATCTACTTTTATTAATATTATTTGTAATAATACCATTCTTTTCAAAGAATAAAAATGATCAAAATAAGATTTATCCTATATTCTTTATTACCTAGAAATTAAATATAATTATCAAGGTACAAAGTGTTTGGATTAAAAAAAAGTTGTAGTTTTATTATACTTTCGAAGTCTTTTTTTACAAATTGTTCGAACTATACATATTTTACAAAATGAATGTTTTGTACAATTTGGTCACTAAAAAACATGATTATAATATAGAAATATAGTACGTATTTAATTCAAATACAAATTTCTTGAATAAATTATCATTAACAAATTGGAGGATATTCACTATCTTCATAATTAAACGATACCCGATTATAAAGTGTCAGGCTTATCGCTACTATTTCTTACGGTGTGCATTTGTGGAATCATACTTGATTTTAAATTAACAGTCTATGAAAATTATGTATACTTTGAAAAACATAAGTAGCATTATACATTATTCTGTATCAATTGGAGTAAATATTTAGGTAATGTTTTGTTGTATTTGTTTGTTGAATTTAACGCACACAGAGTGCCGCGAATCAATCTTAATAATATACATTCCATTTCGCAGAGACATGTAGAATTTTAACTTAAAGATATCTGCACTAGAGATACATTAGTACTATTCAAATACATTTAGACTAATAGTATTTTATTACATTGGACAATTAAATTTTAATGGATATCATCAAATTGCAATTGGATTCATTCAATGTAGTTAAACATATATTACAGTATTCCGAAGGAAAACATTCCAAAGGTTTATAACGACTATATGAAAAATGTAATTCTCGTATTATTCACGTTAAAATCAAAATTATTTTGCACGTGTAGTAGTCATGGGCAATTCTATATTCAAAGTTTACTTACAAGAAAACGCGTTTTATTTAGAAATTCCTTCGATAAGCAATATTTTATATTTCCTATATCGATTTAGTTATGCATATAACGCATATTCCTAGGTCTATCAATGTTTTCAAAAATACTAATCGTAAATTGAATCGAATTCGATTGTAGCGAATTATGTTCTTTAAGGTGATTCAAATATGAAATTATATCTTTGAACGTGCATATAAAACATACGAATATGTACCTTTTAAGACTTCACAGTTCATGATTGTATAGTTTGAGCGTAAGACATAAATTATTGTTCCTTTTCTCTATGCACGATGAATTTCAAACGATAACAGCATTATACCAATACTGAGGATTCTGTTACACTGATCGTCTTACATACGAATATTATAATTCTTTTTTTGTTTCTGTTTGCGTTTGTGCAGGTTTTCCTGTCTCTTTTAGAGTAGCCGGATGATCCTCATAACTAAAAAATAATAGATTATTACCTTTAAAAATTAGTTTCAATTAATACTCTTGAAATAGTCTTAAACTAGGAAATATAAATAATATGTACAGGAACAATGCTTTCAAATCTCCTTTGACCACAGCCAACAGTAGAGGAGTGCCCAAACATGCAGGCACCAAGTACACCAGAGCTGGTTGCGCGTGATTAAACAGATGCATAATGAGCATTGTTGTCAACAGTCCCATGAAGTATGCAAAAAATGTTGCATAGAAATATACGTTTGTTTTCCTGTTTAAACTGTTATCAAATCGCAGCAAAAGTGCAATGAAAATTCCTGGCAAAACAATGTCTCCCAGGCCCAACATGGCAAAGTTGCTGGCAGTGAGACCTTTCTCCAACAAATCTTGGGGAAATACTAGCTTAATTGGCACTTCAAATGATCTTGCAACTGTTACCATCACGTCCGTACCAAATACCCAGAATGCATCATAAAAAAGAAGTCCACAGAGCAAGATGCATCCCGTCGCAACATTGGTCAAATGTAATAATTCAACACCATTGATCGCAAAAGCTATGCCAAATAAATTATTGGCGATCCAATGCTGCAAATTAGAACAATGATACTGTACTTTGTCACAGTGTAGGGGAATTTTAATTCAAAGGAATCTCACTAAACACGCTTACTTTTTTCAATAGATACCAAGCACCGACAAGGGAGCAACATATCAAACAAACGATATCATGAAGATTAAACTTATAATCGATAATATGATCTGCTTTGTCACCCTCACCCTTGGTAAAAAGTATATGATACTGAGTTTTTGGAATAGCTGCAGGTACCAGTGATGAAATCAATGGACTGTAATTATTTAATACAATTACAATACATATATAATTTGTGAATAACATGACTATATACTATAAATATTGATGTTACTAAGGAATTACTCGTACCTGGTAAGATGACATAAAGCTAGGATACCTAAGAAGAAAAAATAACCAACTAAAAGTAGATTGACATACTCCTTCGGAAATATCTAGAGAATGTTTATAAAAATAACATTAGCCATAATAATTCTGTTATAGGACTAAAGTGACAATATTAAAGCACATGAAACATTTTCAAATATATTCTTCCTACCTTATACAATAAATAAAGACTGGCTAATGTAAAACTGGAAATAAAGGGAAATATCATTGCTTCTTTGCGTGACATTTTTTCTGGCTGTTGTCCACTTTGTTCATATTGTAGCTGTAAAAATGATACATGTTTTATTCATAACGTTCTTCACACAAACTTTTAGATATCTAAGTTTACATTAGATTTTGACTCTTCTATACTAAAAGACAATAAACTATGGGTTCTGGACCAAATTTAAAATACATTTAGATAAATTGACTCAATATATGGATTATATTTCAATATTTGGATTACTTATTTGTACAAGATTTTCAAAATTGAAATATTAGGTCTTTGTCGAAGCAAATTTGTTGACTTCTGTTACAGGTCAAACTGCAGTACAGCCTAATCGCAATGGTGCCAAAATTTCCTTAAAGAATAAGTGTAAAACATATGTTAAATGCGTGGCTAACCTGAGTTTCCTTATGGTGTTTAACAGCTCGGTAACTACCGAAGAAAATCGGCAAAATGGCCATAATTATTAGGCTGCCATAAGCAATAGCCATTCCCTCGGGTGACGAGGGCAATCTTTTCGTCGTTGGATCGTCATTTTTCGTCACATTTTCACTGATCTGTGCAACGATATCGTTTACTTCACTTGCCATTTTGGAACCGTCGACACGACACGAGTGACACGACCAGACACAACTGTGTGCAAGCAACCAGTCACTAGTAATCCCACGCGCAGTGATATACTAAAAAATAGGTTGACTAGTGGCGCCATCGGTGGGAAAACGCCCAAATTTGTAGTGAAAATAGTCCTCACTGT